TCGTGCACACACACACACACACAAACTAAAACAAGTTTTACAAAGAATCAACTAAACTGATTCCTTGTTTCTAGGGTGTGTGCGATGCCCTGGATTGACTCATTGTCTACTAATCCCTCAACTTTCAGGGACATCATGAGGAGCGCCTTCCTTCTCTTTGGCCTGTTTTCGGGCTCTGCTTGTTTTCCTTTTCAAAGAATCTTCACAACACTGCATGGCTCCTGCTGTGCAGGGTGACCTGCTTGGGGTCACCGTCTCAGCCAGAGCTGCACTGACCTCTGGTTCTGAGCCAGGTTCACGTGAGACCAGGCAGTGCAGTGTCTGGGCTCCCCAAGCTATCAGTGGGGACATCACAGGACAAGGCCCTGCTAATATCAAGAGACTTGCTGCTGTTCAGTGTTCCAGGTGACCAGTTAAGGGACAGAAGTCAATGTCAAGAGGATGTTGTCTGAACATGCAGAGTAGAGTGCTGTGCCCTGAAACCTAGCTTTAATTCCCCAAACCTCCCATTTTTGGTAGTTTATGTGGAACTCAAAATGGAGTCACTTCTGTCAAACTTGGCAAAATGAAGCACTGGTAGGTGGCTGCGGTGGGGGACTGAGAGATCACATCTTCAACCACAGCTGTGAAGCACAGACGGAACTTGAAGTGAGGCCAAGCTATAAATGTTCAGAGCCCACTCCAAATGATGTACTTCCTCTAGCAGGGCTCTGCCTCCTAAGGGTTCCATATCATCCCAAACAGTGCCACCAACCGGACATCAAGTCTTCAATCGCCTGAGCCTATGAGGGGCACTTCTCATCAGACTACCACATCCCCCGTATCCCCCAGTCTTGCTTTGGTCCCCAAACATCCTATCCTTAGTAGCTTGTATAAAGTATTCAGATTCAAACGGGGACCTCTTATGTGTCACCTTGACAAAATGGAGCTAGGTCAGTCATGAGGGAACCTTCACAAGAAAATGTTCCAAACTACAGATTATTAAACTAATCAGGACAAGAACAGCTAGGTTAGACAAGAACACTTGTCCAGCACCATGTCCAGTCCAAGCAAACAACCTACCCTGGTTTTAGAGAATACACTTAACCTAGCACCTGGTGTTCCTTAATCAGAGCTTCCAGCTCCTCAAAGATACCCCAGGCAGCAAAGGGGCATCTTCCCTTTACTGTTCTGTTTTGCTTTCCTTATTGACAGAGCCCCATGTATCCCAGGCTGGCCCTGAACTTCTGATTCTCCTGCTCTACCTCCTAACTGCCAGGATGGCAGACACACAAAGTATATTTTCTTCAGAGCAACTTACATATCTTCTGTTGTTCCCAATAAAACCTCCAAATCCCCCCTCTTCTGCTGATGTGCTAGAGGCCACCTTGGTCTCTGTACGCTCCAAGTTATTATTTCTGACTCTTGTATCATTTCCTCTCTCAGGCCTGGGGCACTTGATGACCAAGTCTCCATTTATGTCACACTTGACCCCAGTTCTAAGGTGCACCCACCCTTCAAAAGCTTTCATTCTCTCCTAGCAGTCCTTTCTTTCTCTATTCACTGTTTCAATATTTTTTATTTAAAGTTTTAGCATATGCAGCATTACAATTCACTCTGACATTTTCAAACAAAATTAGCTACTATTGATTCTTCTCCGATGCTCCTCCCTCTTTCCGCCTTACTGCCTGCAGTCTATTCACAGACAGTACCCACTTCACCTCTACTCATGAACACACACATACAACATCTAGCACAGATGTGAGAGAGAACATGTGATCTTCCCCAGAGTCTGAGTAACTTCACTTAGCATAATGCTTTCCTGTTCTTCCCACATTCTTGCAAATTTCATTTTATTGACAGCTAAATAAATTCTACTATGCATATGTACAGTTTTGTTATCCCTCCACCTGTGGATGGGTGTCTGGACTGGCTCCGTTCACTGTTATTATGAGCAGTGTATCAGTAAACACGGATGCACAGATGTAGTGGGAGAATTTTAAAAAGCAGCGGCAAGGCGAGGCTCTGGCTGGCTCCTTGGCCACCGCTCTAAGTTCTCACTCTGACCACAGCACTGGCTAGCCAGGAGTGCCAGCCAGGACCCACAAGACAGCATGGCTGCAGCCTCCACCGGCCAGCTCCGTGGACCCCATGGCTCTAAGCATGGCCCTTGAGCCAACTCTGCCACCCTCATGGTTCTCGGCTCAGAGCAGACAATAACCGCCATCCTTGCAGTACCCGGTAGAAATAAGACTCTTAATGCTTAAAGATTATCCAATAGATTTATATATTAGCAAATACCCAATACACAAGATGCCCACACAAATAGAGTTGTTATCCCAATATCTAACCTTTTGATATGAATAACTACCTGAGACTACTAGAGACACGAACATCTGCCACCATCTTTCTCTCCTCTTCCTTCTCTTCCCTTCCTCTTTCCTTCTTCCTCCCAACTCCCAGCTCCACTTACCTCTTCTACTGCCCAATAGCTGAGCTCCACTGCAAATACAGTGGGCAGGAAAAAA